CTGGCTGTTTAAAAATGAAGCCCCTCTCTGTAATAGCCGTTCCGCTCCGAAAAAAACAAAAAACAAAACAAAACAAAAAAAACACAATTAAACCAAAGAATAGAGAATAAATGTGGCGCTTAATTATAGAGTAAATCGATACGGTAAATGAAGGTAATGGAGGAACTAGTTTAACTAACTTCTTAAATTATTTTCCCAAATGAAAATCCTCATTTGGGTAGAAGGGGGGAAGCTTTTGTTCGTTTTTTAATCTACTTGCCTGTGCGCGATAGTCGCTGAGCACTTCTCTACATCTTGATTCAAATTCTTTCATGGACGCCTTACCCGTCCTTCACCTAACGGATTGTGCCATTCTCTCGAACTTTTCTTGGTCAATTACTCTTAATTGACAGATTCCTATGTAGTCCCTGAGGGTGTTCCGAGGGACACCGGAAATTCGCATGGCCTCTGCGAGGGAGCACTGATTCTTTTTTTTACTATTTCGAGAACGCCAAAGTACCTCTCTTGAATCGATTGTAAATTCGATGCTTTGGCCAATCCTATAATATCGGAAAGAAAAACGTCCTAATTCAGCATTTACCATTATTTCTTTCCCCAATTTATGAATTATTGAAACCTTACCTACTATAAATGATAAGTTTTGCAGATATTTATCACATTATCGTGCACATTTTCCTCTAGAATTAGTAGCTGGGATCGTATACTTACTCTGGACAATCAGGCGATATTGCGCGATAGTGAGATACAAAGTGCAAATTGTTACCAAACCTTTTTAAATTTTACGTACAGTTTGGCTTCTTTTTTTAGTTGGGCACTTCAGAAAAGTCCTCCGGCAATGGCTCGTGGCAAATTTTCAGATAATTTGTCTAAGATAATTTGCCTACGTCTCTTAAACTAGATTTTTTTTATATATTTGACGATCTACGACATTAAGTTGAGGATGTAATGTATTCAGTCTATTTCTAACAAACCTCGGGAATTCTTTGGGTCCTTGTCTTTTTTCGGCTCCGTAGGCTTTGGCTCCTCCTCTTTTCGGGATCTACTTCCTCAACGTCTTTGCATTGAAAAGTCGCCCCTACAAAGCCAAAACACATACTAATTTAACTG